TCCATGTTATTTGTGCAGAAGAATCCTTCCCCTCCCAGAGACCATCCTTCTACCAGCGACAAAACCCATTCTGGCTGAGAGTGCAGGAGTTTCTAAACTTACAGAGCAGTGCACTACGCAAATATGAAACAATCAGAGCTACCTTCAGATAAAACTGTAACTTGTGATGGTTTGAATGAATGCCTCCAAGTTTCTTTCTCTTTTCCACCTTAGACTCTGGTTATTTTTTTGAAGAGTTACTAAACTGAAAGGCACTGCTTGCTCTGCCCTCCACAGAGACCACCAAGGGGCAGTTCACACAACCATCCTGTGTTCAAAACATGGACAAGATGTGGACGTGATTCATCACAAAGTGGCAGCCATGATTTTGCATGCTATCGCTCAACTCACTTTCAGAAGGTTTGGAGAGGGTGCAAAGTCAAAGGCTATGCGATGATGAACCACTCACAAGCTGAATGCAGCATGAATGTTGTGAGCCCTAAACTATATATAAACCAGTAAAATAAATAAACAAGTTAAAACTATAAAAAGCAGACTCTTCTGCTAAAGCCAAAGGGTTGCAGGGCCTCAGCCGTGAGTCAATTCTTATCCCACCTAACGTTTTAAGTTATGTGTTATGTGCAGGAATGTAACAAAAAGCGGGAGGGCAAGCAGAGGCCTTCTAACAGAGGAGGGAACTGTTCCATCCTAAGCAGGTGGGCTATTTCCCTAAACATTTTCTCCCAAACCTTTATAATAATAAACCCCAGGTGCCCATCTCAGCTCTTTCCAAGCTTGCAGGAAAAGCTCTCCTTGTCTTACTGGGTGAAAGGAAGCTTTTTATTTTTCAAAATGGACCTGGGTTGGGGTTTTGACAGAGCCAGGGGTAGGGCTATGGTGTTAAGGAGTTGTGCCTCCAATATGAAACATGGACTGCAGCTGTGAGCCGAGATACTTTGCATTTTGCGTCTTTTCACGCATGGAGCAAAAACAGGGAGGCTAAGAGAATACATTGAGCTGGAAAGCTCTCTTTGTGGGGCACACACGGATCCTGATTTAGGCTAAAAATCAGTCAAGAGCAGATTTCAAAGGCGCCAGAAGGGGGGGAAGGGGGGAGAAGAATTGTGTGCTGTCAGTGTTCACTCAATTAGCATTTCAAACATGGCAGCAACATCCTAAGCAAATATAATTAAAGTGTGCTCTGGAAGGGATGTTTATTTTAAGGGGCTACTAAATACGATGGTATATATGTGCATGTGTGTGTGTGTGTATTTGATGAAACACAGTAGGTCAATTCACATCCCAGCTCTTTCCTAGAAAGTGCTGCCAGATCTTTAACATTCATTGCTTCTATTTTAAATGTGTGTGATATGTTCCAACTTGTATAGCTAGCCTGGACTGTATGAGAACCCAGATGAAGGCTAGGGGGTATCACATACTTGTTCTTGAAAGAGTGTTAAAAACAGAAGCAGCAAATGTTGAAAGAGCGGTAGTGAATTATAAGAGTCACATTCATTGCCCTGCCCACTTTTACCTCTAGCTCTGCTCACCACTGGCATCTGGCCCTCGGAAGGATACCCAGAAAGGAATGCAGCCCTCAGGTTGAAATGAGTTCCCCACACCTGGCATGCTGCATGCCACCCACCACAGGCCTATCTCATTCAGTGTGTTCTAGAACATAACAGTGAATTATCAGGGGCTAGAATGTTCATTGGGACGCGGGTGGCGCTGTGGGTAAAAGCCTCAGCGCCTAGGGCTTGCCGATCGAAAGGTCGGCAAGTTCGAATCCCCGCGGCGGGGTGCACTCCCGCTGCTTGGTCCCAGCGCCTGCCAACCTAGCAGTTCGAAAGCACCCCCGGGTGCAAGTAGATAAATAGGGACCGCTTACCAGCGGGAAGGTAAACGGCGTTCCGTGGGCTGCGCTGGCTCGCCAGATGCAGCTTTGTCACGCTGGCCACGTGACCCGGAAGTGTCTGCGGACAGCGCTGGCCCCCGGCCTCTTGAGTGAGATGGGCGCACAACCCCAGAGTCTGTCAGGACTGGCCCGTACGGGCAGGGGTACCTTTACCTTTACCTTTAGAATGTTCAAAGTCTAAAAGTCATTTGCCAAAATCTCCACGTAGCCTACAAGCATAGAGTCCTTTCCCAACTCAGCTACTTTTCCCCCCTTCCCAACAACCAACCAGGCAACCAGCATGTCCTGCCACTGCACTCCATCCTCTGCTTCTTGCCACTCACCTGCCATCTTGAACTACGCTGCTTCCTTCCCCAGCCCAACCAAAGTTCCCCTGTGACTACCTATGTTTGAAATCAAAGAGTCCACATCACTGCTACCGCAGCCAGCACTTCATCCTCTACTCCAGGGGTCATGGGAAAACTTGTTCTTCAGCAGTCCCCTAAGCATGTAAAACCCACAAGGAGCTGCTTTTTGCAGCTCTGCTTCCATCGACAGTTGATGCACTCAGATGTTATGTTTGGCTCACAAGACTAAGAGTGGGTGCCCCCCTCTTGTACCATAAGGGCTGGTCCACATGTTAAAAGGAAGCAGAACAAGGGTGCATCTTGCATTTATTTTCTGGGACTTGTGGATCTCATGCATTGCGCATGAGAGTCCCACTTCCCAAGTCCCACTTCCCAAGTCAAAGTGCAGGTGAGGAAGGATCATGAATCTTTTTTGCAATAGGTAACGTGGCTCTGAAGGAAATACCCTACCAGCAAACTGGGAGTTTGCATGAGGATATCTTCACCACTCTCTGTGCTAAGCTGCAAAACTCTCAAGGAACAGCCTGGAGTACAAACAGGCTACAAGTGCTTAAACCTGCAGCTACAGGAGTTGCCTGCAATAATTCTTTTTGGGGTCATGACTGCAGAATTCCAAAGCATGTTCTTCTATCTATTGGGCATGATAAAAGCTGAAGTCGCTGCCAGCAGATGAGGATCTAATACCAAATCATTATAAATGCAACACTGAAACATGAAAATCTATTACTTACAAAGGCAACCCATCACATTTTTAAGTGCTTACCCTATTTACGAAGCCCATACTCCATGTCATACCAGTTCAGCAATTCCTGGGGTTCACATGAACACACGGCACATGCGTGGGCTAGCAAAGGGGTTAGGGATCTTTTCAAAATATGTTAGCGGACACACAGAGCACCTAGATGAGTAAATGCTTTGTGAATAGCAGTATTATAGTTAAATATATAAGTATCAGGGAAGCCCACATTTCTATACTTTTTTGCTAAAAATTGCACCCCCACCCTCTTCAAAAGTGTCCAAATCTGGTCTAGACATTACATCTACCACATGTTTAAGCCCACTGTGTGTTGTTTATGTTCATTTGTAATTCCTACCATGTGCAGCTAGCATGCTGGATCACTTCTACCTCAGAAACCCATTTCCCACATTCCGTGATTGCTTGGCATGGCAAAGTTTTCCTATGAGGTTCAGAAAGTTCATATGGGAGCAACATCATGGGAGAGGTGTTTCCAGGACTAAGGTGAAACTGTAAAGCTCCCTTGTTATTTTTGCTACTTGTTATTTTTGCTACTAGATGCTACATGCTGTTTAAGTAATCTTGTTATATTTATAGTACTGAAATGTGGGAGCGTTGTATGTTATTGTATTTTTGTTTTGCTATGTTATTATGAAATTGTCACTATGGTATTGCTTTGTTATGTTATTATGAAATTGTTGCTGTTACTATTTTGCTATGTTATTATGGAATTGTTTTTATAGTGTTCATTTGAAATGCAACTCTGTTTCTTTGTTGCAGGCTACTATGGGCGGGGGGGGGGGAGTGGCAAACAAATAAAAATGAATGAATGGATAAATGAATGAGTGAATGAATGAACTGCTGAGCCTCATCATGTATCCGTCCAATCAATTGGTGTAAGTGCCAAAGCACCTGAATGTCTGAAGATGATTCTGCACCCATTTTTCTATGGTTGTGCTTGTGCTATTCTCAGACCTGAAAGCATACGGTCCCCCAGACTTTGCTTTTAGATTCCTAATTTGCCAATTACCAGAAGTGAATTATGCACCACATTCACACCATAGCCAAACTTTCCTGGTAAGGAAATTGAATGGAGTGCTATGAAAGTCACCAACATACCCCTTCTGGCACCTTTCCTGCCACAACAGAATGCAGGTAATTAACTGCACCAAGCAATGGTTCCATTTCATTCACACAAAGCTTCCATGGAACGAAAAGGTAGTAGATGCTAAGTGTGACATCCTGTGGCCAACTGCAAAACTACAGTCACTGAAATACCATTGAGAAGACCTAGGAAGCCTTGGAAACACCATGCAGCGTTATGGTAAAAAGCATTATCTGCATCATTTCACCTCTGCTCCAGCCCCCCCACTGGCTTCAAAATGACCCACAGGGGCTGCAAAATGACTATTTACTTCACAATCACCCCAGTTCAACTTACCGCAGTATTGCCATATGGATGCAGGACACTTCTAGTGTTTAGCCACATAGTGAATTTCAGGGTGCCTATGCTCTCCCATATATCTACGAGTGTCTGCTCTGTTACATGGTCAGATACTATAGACAGACAGAATGTGTAACGGACATGGTTACACGCACATGGTAGTAAGTTAGAAGCTCATCATTGATTGAGCAGTCATCTGTAGACACCTATTGGAGCTCTAGAACCTCCACATGGTCCCTCCTCCCCACACTTGTAAAATGGGGACATCACTGTTCCTTGCTATAGCTTAGAATTTATCTCTGTATCTCAGATTTATATCCCACCTTTTTCCCAGGAAGCATATACCCAGATCTAGATGTGCTTCATTTCAGCAAGGTGGTGGCCTCATGTGTGTTCAGACTATACTCTTGAACACTGCTTCTTCATTTGGCTGAGGAAGGCGAAGATTGTCCAGGGTGCTACATATTTTGGCCAGTACCATTATACAGTTTGTTCACCAAACTGAATCAGCTCTCCTTCCCCACCCAACGAACGAGCTATATTTCACATTCCAACCTTTCCATGCCCAGCCTCACTCACCTCGGCAGGTGCTACCCTCCCGGGTAATAGCCTGACGACATATCCCACATGGTTTCACTTTCTTGAAGCTCTTCACTTTGAAGGTGTGGGATGTGGATGCTTCAAGGTCCTCAGGCTGCAGAGAGGAAAGGAAAGAGAAACAGCGCTGTTAAAAGAAGTAAAAGAGTTCTCCATTTTGAAACCAGTGAATGGATTAAGAAATTACTAAGCAGAGTTTGTGGAGTCCCTGCTTTTATCACCAAGGAGAGCCCATCCACCTCATCTAATGCATGTTGTTACTCTTGCAGCACACTACCCAAGCAGTGACAAAACCTCTCCGGAGAAAGTGAAGCAGTTCTGCCAAGACACTATTGAAAGACCTACAGTGGCTCCCAGTACATTTCCGAGCACAATTCAAAGTGTTGGTGCTGACCTTTAAAGCCCTAAACGGCCTCGGCCCAGTATACCTGAAGGAGCATCTCCACCCCCACCGTTCAACCCGGACACTGAGGTCCAGCGCTGAGGCCCTTCTCGCAGTTCCCTCACTGCGATAAGTGAGGTTACAGGGAACCAGGCAGAGGGCCTTCTTGGTAGTGGCGCCCGCCCTGTGGAATGCCCTCCCACCAGATGTCAAAGGAAAAAACAATTATACGACATTTAGAAGACATCTGAAGGCAGCCCTGTTTAGGGAAGTTTTTAATGTATTTTAACCTTCTGTTGGAAGCCGCCCAGAGTGGCTTGGGAAACCCAGCCAGATGGGCAGGGTAGAAATAATAAATTTATTGTTATTGTTATTGTTATTACTATGCTACCTAAGCCCAGAAAGGGAGTGATGAAGACAATGTGGCAGCTCCTTGATAATATAGGGAATTCACCACATGTCCGGGGACTAACTCCTTTCTGCCAGCCACGAAATCCACAGAATTTAGAGTTCTAGAAACTGAATGACATGGGAGATCCAACAGCACATCACACATCTCATTTTGAACAAAGAAACACACTGTCCACACATGAAGGAAGCGAATGACCCCAAGTGTGTAATGATAGTTTTTACCCTATGTGTGAGGCCCAATAAGCATTTTCATCCCCTAGCTACTGTATTGGCCCGAATATAAGCCACACTCCCCCCCCCCCCAAATTCTGACCCTGAAAAGTTAAAGTGCGGCTTATATTCGCAACCTTACAAAAACTGTCTTTGTGATCGGCTGTGAGGTGGTGCACTGTTGCAGGGAGCCAATCAGCTGGTCTGTGATAGCGGCGGTGTTGGAATTGGCAGAGCTTGGCTGCAGCACTCGGGACCACACGGGCTCCGGATGTGCCGCAGAAGCCTATCAGCTGTGAGGTGGTGTTCCCCCAAGCTGAGCAGTGGCTGCTGCCCACACAAAGTTTTTCCTACACAGCAGCAGTGTCCTATGCACTGCAATCTCCAATCAGCTGTGAGGCAGTTCCTTTACAGCTGGGCAGCAGGCGTCTTCCAGTTACTGTATTTGGCAGCGGATGACCACGTGGGCTTCAGTGGTGAGAGTGTGCTTGTTTGGGACAGGTGCTTGGGGGGGGGTTGGTTTAATGGTATTTTTTATTAAGTTTTCAACAAAAGTAACAACAGAAAAATAAAAAAACAGACAGTAACAAATGCAATAACATCCATAAACAAAGAAAACTATACATAAAGCAGTATCAAATCTATAAAATGGGATTCTCCAAATCCCGTGACTCCCCCCCCCCACACACACACACCTTCCTCTGGTTCCTTAGTGTGTTTTTTTCAACTGTATATCATTTCTACTCCAAATTATTTTTCTACCTCAAATGGGACGGGTGCTTGTTAATCCCCATTTGATTCCCACCCCCAACCCTCCCTGGGCAAGCCGTGTGTGTGTGTGTGTGTGTGTGTGTGTGTGTGTGTTCCCCCATTGTGTGATTGCACTTCATTGGGCGAGTGCCTTTTGGAATTCTGCCCCCCCCTCCAATTTTAAGGGAGCGGCTTATATCCGAGTGCAGCTTATATTCGGGCCAATACGGTAGTATGCATTTTGCACTCTTGAGCTCAATTTGAAAAACAAAAACAAATGACACTATGAATTTGTGTTTTATATCTGGGAGTGCAAAATGCGACATATGGAACAGCTCCAAGGTGCCAGCTGGTTTTGAAACATTATGCCATGTAATGTTTTGCTGCTCTTTGGTTTTATTGAAGGCTTTTAATTATCATGTCTTCTTATGGTTCGATGTACGCTGCTCTGGGTACTTCAGCTGAAAGGCTACTCATAAATACCATTCAAAAACAAATAAATGAGATCGTTTTTAAGGACTTCTTGGATCCAACATCAGCAAGCACCAGCCGATATATAATGCATATCCTTAAAGTGCAGCAAAATTGCTTCCCTGTGACTGGAGAGAAGTTGGGGGGTGGCAAACTAGATGGGGTGAGGTGGCTGATTCTTCACATGCCTCCCCCATTCACAAATAAAATGCAGGTGAGACTAATGCTAACATCAAAAGGGGCACACAAGTGTGGGTAGCTGATTGCTCCCTCCTACACACACATACACACACTTACCCCCACACACTCTGCTGCTCTCAGGCACTTTTCTCCCAGTCCAGCTTCAGCACTTGAAAAGGGGCACACTCAAAGCCACAAAGTGAGGAGAAGTATAGTAGGGGAAGGTTCAGCTCCCTTCACCATTACGTGTCACATTTTATTGTGAAAAACCAGATCTGACCCCATATGTGAATAAGGAAGGTACCTAAAAATGAACACGGATCTCCCTCCTGCATCAACTTTGGGCTCCTCCAGACAAGCTGTTCATTGAGCATTCGTCCTGATTTGTTTCCACTTTGTCCTGTCTTTCTTGAGCATTCATTCTTTTTTTGCTTGCGTGAAGGTTACACATCTCCCCATTTGTTGTTTATTCAACCCACACTTTCCAGTGCATTTGCCCATCGCTTTCCAAACTGCAAAATGTCCATTAAAAAAAAAGTGTGTTTGCTGCACCATTGCACAAACCTAAATTTCTCACATGTGCTTGAATTTCTGCTGCAAAATACTGATCCCCTGGAGGCAGCCTTTGGTTCTTGGACCACATCTGCACCACATGTTTAAAGCACTATTATACCACTTTAACAAATAATTCTGGGAAGTGTAGTTTGTTAAGGATATGGAGAGTTGTTAAGAGACACCTATTTCCTTCACTGGGATACCATCCCGAAAGTTCCCTGGGAACAGGGATTGATTGGTAAACCATTCAGGTATCTGTACCTCTGTTAAGGGAACAGGGGTTTCCTACAACTCTCAGTACCCTCAACAAACTACAGTTCCCAAGATTCTTTGGGAAAAGCAGTGACGGTTAAAATAGTATTACACCGCTTTAAATGTATACTGCAGATGGGGCCTCAGACTAAGGATTATTATTTTAAAGGTTCATTTCTTCACTGCACCACTGGGTGCCAGTCTCCGTTGCTAATCCACCAGCAAAGCAAGTTCTGGGTCAGATGTTGCCTCAAACATCCTAGGGACAGCCACTGAAGGAAGAACCTTGCTAGCTTTTCTTGCAGACACTTAGATTGCAGCAACATTCTACCTACTAGCAAGTGGGCTCTGGGTTACTCTAAAAGCATCTGTCAGACAGCGAGCCATTTTTAGTTAGAAGTGAAGCAATGGAGGGAAGGGGAAGAAGAGGGGGACATTCTCCTGTTAATTTCTCCAAGCTCAAATTAATTTGCCAACATTCACATTTATATTTTTCTAGCTTTTCTCACCATGATGCTACTTGAATTAAGGATTGGGGACAAACTGTACAACTACAGTGGTACCCCGGGTTAAGTACTTAATTCGTTCCAGAGGACCATTCTTAACCTGAAACTGTTCTTAACCTGAAGCACCACTTTAGCTAATGGGGAAGAAGAAGAAGAGTTTGGATTTGATATCTCGCTTTATCACTACCCGAAGGAGTCTCAAAGCGGCTAACATTCTCCTTTCCCTTCCTCCCCTACAACAAACACTCTGTGAGGTGAGTGGGGCTGAGAGACTTCAGAGAAGCGTGACTAGCCCAAGGTCACCCAGCAGCTGCAGGTGGAGGAGCGGAGACGCGAACCCGGTTCACCAGATTACAACTCTACCACTCTTAACCACTACACCACACTGGCTCTCACCACACTGTATTTCATTGGGGGGGTTGGGGGGGACTATATGTGAGTCACATTTTTAAGAAGAAAAAATGAAAGAGTAGATATTCAACATGCATATACAGTGGTACCTCGGGTTACATATGCTTCAGGTTACATACGCTTCAGGTTACAGACTCCGCTAACCCAGAAATATTACCTTGGGTTGAGAACTTTGCTTCAGGATGAGAACAGAAATCAGGCTCCGGTGGTGCAGCAGCAGCAGGAGGCCCCATTAGCTAAAGTGGTGCTTCAGGTTAAGAACAGTTTCAGGTTAAGAACTACAGAACGAATTAAGGTCTTAACCCGAGGTACCACTGTAAATTTTGAAATGTTCTGAATTTTTGAAAAAAAATGAAAAATTCATCTGCGCAAAATTTCAACATTGGTTACAATGGCACATGGTAAAGGTGGGAAATCCCACTATGTGTATTAAGAGGAAAAGGGCACACAGACATCCCATCAGTTCTGTTCCTATTTGGATATCATCCCTTACTCCAGTGCAGCCTTCCGTGTGCACTGCAGACACATCTAGATGCACAATCCCATCTGCAATACTACTGCATACATATCCCAGTTGTCCTACTGAACTGGTTAGGCACAACTTTTAATGTGACTAGTAGTGCCCATCTGCATCTAGGGGGCACCTGTTATGTCTGACTAGTTGCCTGCAACGACTGGTGGACTGAGGCTCCTCTCAGCATCTCTTGATTCAGCCAAAGCATGAGACTTTGTTTTTATACTTGAGAGACAAAAGCAAACTATTTGTAGAGCTGGGTGGGCCCGAGTGTAAAGACCATGTTGGCTCAAAGAGACCAGCCCTTGCTTCCACAACAGAACACAAAGTCCCTTCTTTCCTCCTAACCACAGGTTTCCAAACGATGCTGTGGACAAACTACCACAAATGGAAAACAAATGTAGCCAAGGGTATATCTGGGTAAGTGTATGCTAAAGGAAGTGTTATTAAAATTT